ATTATATAACCTCCAAATTTTAAAATCTTAAACTTACATGGCAAAATGTAATCACTTCTTTTGAAATGCAGAGAACATACTCTCATAGAAGGCCTTATACTGTTTATTTTTAAAGCATTTTTCCAGGCCTTTAATTGATCGACTTTTTCAAAATTATCGAACGTATTTTTCACATCCACTACTCGTTGTTTTGGTTTAGGAAATTTATGGAAAATTACGCTTAAATTTTTCGCTACAGTACTGCCACAGCCTCTCACAGAACACTTAATTCTGCAGGAAGATTTCTCACGCGGTAAAAATGTAGCTTCATTCATAATGATAAAATAATTAACAATGACAGCGGAACTACAATTGCAAGTGACACAAATAGTTATCCAAAACTAGTTACATTTTTCAACACCAGATGGCATGTGTACGAATGTCAGATCCCAATACTTCGTGGTTAAAGTACTCACCCATTGGACTAATCTATGTGCAAGTTACAGCCCGATCCGATCAACTTTTTTTTGTTAGTACGCTACGGGAATTTTACCTCATATATATCATCCTTTTTAAAATAACAGAATCATAACCTAGACTATTTTGTGGCTCGAAAGTTAGCTTTTATAGCAAGTGCCTGAAGTTTTTGACGTTAAAATAAACGAAAAATTTGTTTACTACTTTTCTACTTTCAAATTTTATTAAATAATATTGCTTTCTGTATTTAAAAATGCATTAATAACACTGTGTTACAAAACAAATATGATTTCAGAAACTCCTTATCGGACCTGGTAGAGTTTGTAAAGCATAAAAAACTGAAAAGAATGGTGTATATGAGAGATTCTGTTTCAATCGCCCCAGCCCAAAAAGTCAATGTTCTGGGATTGGCTTCATACTTTGGTAAATTGTTGTCCTATATGATAGTAATAAATCCATAAAATATAAACTCATTAAAAAAATATTTGTAGAAAGTAGAGGGGGTTGAAGTTTTGACGTTAAGGGTAACATTGTCATTTTCAAAACCGTATAACTATGACAAAAGTTAATGGATTTTAATTTATCTATAATGAATTTTAATGCGTTTTTCACGTACTTTTCAAAAAAGTATACGAAATTAAAAAAAAAAATTGTTGACTACTTTTTTCAAAATTAACCCTTATTTTTCGATTTTCACCACTTCGGGTATTTTTTTTTTATTTTCATCGGAAAGCTGAGGTTTTTTCTTATGAGCTATGTAAATATGAAAGTCGGACAACAATAATTTTGTGAGAAACAGAATATTAAAGTAGGCGGTGCCGATAAGGGTGCCGTTAAGGGTAACATTGTCATTTTCAAAACCGTATAACTATGACAAATGTTAATGGATTTTAATTTATCTATAATGAATTTTAATGCATTTTTCACGTACTTTTCAAAAAAGTATACGAAATTAAAAAAAAAAATTGTTGACTACTTTTTTCAAAATTAACCCTTATTTTTCGATTTTCACCACTTCGGGTATTTTTTTTTTATTTTCATCGGAAAGCTGAGGTTTTTTCTTATGAGCTATGTAAATATGAAAGTCGGACAACAATAATTTTGTGAGAAACAGAATATTAAAGTAGGCGGGGCCGATAAGGGTGCCGTTAAGGGTAACATTGTCATTTTCAAAACCGTATAACTATGACAAGTGTTAATGGATTTTAATTTATCTATAATGAATTTTAATGTATTTTTCACGTACTTTTCAAAAATGTATACGAAATTAAAAAAAAAATTGTTGACTCCTTTTTAGGGTTCCGTACTCGGTTCGGAACCCTATTAATATCGGTTTTTTTGAAATCGTGTACCCCCCCCCTAGCGGCCACACAAATTTATCTGGAGGGCTAAAAATTAGTACACATATGTATTTTCGCGTGTAGATTACAGGAAAAATATATCGAACTTGATTGGAATTGATTAACATAGCGTTGTCAAGGAAAAACCATGAATTTTTACGAAAAATGCCTAAAAATGACTATGTACCCCCCCCCCCTAGCGGCCACATCTTTTGACATAAAGAGCTCAAATTTGGTACACTTACGTATTTTTACGTGAAAATTACAGGAAAAATAGAGCGAACTTGATTCCGATCAATTTACATAGCGTTGTCAAGGAAAAATAAAAAATTCCGAAAAAAATAATTTATTCTCCCTAGCGCACACAATATTCAACACAGACAGTTCATATTTAGTATACAAATGTATTTTTACGGGAAAAATACAAGGGAAAAAAAGCGGTCACGATTAGAGTTGATGATTAACTTTTTATCAAGTTTTTCAAGAAAAAATGACAATTTTAGGAAAAAAATGTGTTTTTCCACCAAAAACGAACAAAATTTTATTTAAAGGAAATTAAATTTACCTATTTTAACGTATTTTTACGTGTAGATTACAAAAAAAATATAGCGAGCATGATTGGAGTTAATTATCATAGCGTTGTCAAGGAAAAACCATGAATTTTTACGAAAAATACCTAAAAATGACTATGTACCCCCCCCTAGCAGCCACATCTTTTGACATAAAGAGCTCAAATTTGGTACACTTACGTATTTTTACGTGAAAATTACAGGAAAAATATAGCGAACTTGATTCCGATCAATTTACATAGCGTTGTCAAGGAAAAATCAAAAATTTCGAAAAAAATGATTTATTCTCCCTAGCGCACACAATATTCAACCCAAATTGTTCACATTTGCTGTAAAACTGTATTTTTGCGTGAAAAATACAGGGAAAAAATGTAAGCGCGATTGGAGTTGATGATCAATTTTTATCAAATTTTTGAAGAAAAATGATAAAAATAAAAAAATGTATTTTTCCGCAAAAAACGAAAAAAATCGGACAAGTGCGAGTTACACTCGCACTGAAATCGAGGGTTCCGTACTCGAAGCGAACTTATTTGGTATAAAAACAAATGTTTAAAAAATATGTGTTGTTTATTAAATAATATATGTGATACAAAAATGAACAATTTTTAAAAAAAAATTTAAGAAAATTGTTCCTCCTTTGGTATAAAAACAAAAAAAAATTTTAAATTTGTTTTGTATTTCAAATAATATAAGTGATACAAAAAGGAACAATTTTGTAAAATTTAAGAAAATTGTTCCTCTTCGTATCACTTATATTATTTGAAATACAAAACAAATTAAAAATTTTTTTTTGTTTTTATACCAAAAGAGGAACAATTTTCTTAAATTTTTTTTTTAAAATTGTTCATTTTTGTATCACATATATTATTTAATACACAACACATATTTTTTAAACATTTGTTTTTATACCAAATAAGTTCGCTTCGAGTACGGAACCCTCGATTTCAGTGCGAGTGTAACTCGCACTTGTCCGATTTTTTTCAAAATTAACCCTTATTTTTCGATTTTCACACCTTCGGGTATTTTTTTTTTATTTTCATTGGAAAGCTGAGGTTTTTTCCCATGAGCTATGTAAATATGAAAGTAGGACAACAATAATTTTGTGAGAAACATAATATTAAATTAGGCGGTGCCTACCTAAATCCTCGAAGATGATCTCCAGGTATACCCGTTATCGGCACCTCCTACTTTAATATTCTGTTTCTCACAAAATTATTGTTGTTCGACTTTCATATTTACATAGCTCATGGGAAAAAACCTCAGCTTTCCAATGAAAATAAAAAAAAAATACCCGAAGGTGTGAAAATCGAAAAATAAGGGTTGATTTTGAAAAAAAGGGGTCAAAAATTTTTTTTTTTAATTTTGTATACATTTTTGAAAAGTACGTGAAAAACGCATTAAAATTCATTATAGATAAATTAAAATCCATTAACTTTTGTCATAGTTATACGGTTTTGAAAATGACAATGTTACCCTTAACGTCAAAACTTCAACCCCCTCTACTTTCTACAAATATTTTTTTAATGAGTTTATATTTTAGGGATTTATTACTATCATATACAGTGCCGCTCAGCAGATTTTGCCCACCTTTGAGAATTTTTTATGAAAAAATCCTTGTAACTTCCTTATTTTTTGCCCTATTTTAAATTTTCTTTTTTAATTTTTAAGCTGAAAAACAGATGTTTGCCACTGTATAAAGGATTTTTGTTGTATCTTTTTAATTGATGACAATAAAGACCAAATACTTTCAAAAATTTCGATTTTTTATTGATTTTTAAACTTTTTGATCAATTTGTAATTGTTATCTGATGAGATGTACCTTCTTTCTTTTTACACATCGAAAGTGTACTCAATTCTGCTTCAATTGACCCCTAATCGGTTAGAATTCGTTAAAATTTGTCTGAGTTAGCAGACTTTTAATTTTATAGTCACATTAAGTTTCATGCGTGATTGATTTTCATTGATTTTCTGATTTTCATAAAATTTAGTAGATGGTTAGTGTATACTAAAAATTAAAGAGTAGAAAGCACTTCTTTTGTTACACAAAGGAACACTGCATTTATCTTTCGTGGCACTATTACTGTTTTATTAATAACTCATTTTTTCTAACACTGGCTGAATGCACTGCTCACGTGCTTACTGACAATCATGATCATGCTGACAGTTACCGAAGACATTAGCTGATTAAATATTTTAACTATTAATCAATTATCTTTGATTTTCTTATAAAAGAAAATTATTTTAAATATAATTTTTAATATAAAGCAATTTATGATTTTCTAAACTTTGCGCGACTTGTCACCAAGAGCAATGATGTCACCTATAGTGGTCGAGTTTGGCCGTGAGGGACCTCATTATTTTAAATGAACTATACCTTCCTACATAGCACCAAAACTTTACTGAACATTTATTAAAGGTTTAAGTCCAAAGTACGGAATAATTGGTAGCATTGTTTAGAAACATTTAAATAAATATTAAATTATCCGCCATAATTAAATGTAATTATGTAGTATGGATTTAACCCTTTAATAAATTTTCAGTAAAGTTTCGGTGCTGTATGAGTTAAGTTTACTTTTATCTTATTTGAAAAATTAAAAAATACTACATTTTTAATTATAGATTCTCTTTTAAATAGGGTTCCTGCCACGTGAAACAGCGATCCACCATAGAAATCATGTTCTTCGTGTTCTTCGCGAAGCACTTACTGATGCAAAATTAACACTAAACGATGTTGATGTTATTTGTTTTACAAGAGGACCAGGAATGGGTGCTCCTTTAACAATAGTGGCATTAGTAGCTCGAACAATAGCAAAAATGTATAAAAAACCTATTGTAGGAGTTAATCACTGTATCGGACATATTGAAATGGGTAGACTGATAACTAAAAGTGATAATCCTATTATACTTTATGTCTCTGGAGGAAATACACAAGTCATCGCTTATTCTGAAAGACGATATTGTATTTTTGGTGAAACAATCGATATAGCAATTGGTAATTGCTTGGACCGATTTGGTAGACTTTTGAAATTAACAAATGATCCAAGTCCTGGATACAACATAGAGCAACTTGCTAAGAAGTAAGATAAGAGATACTAATGCTTAATAATTTTCGAAAGCGTAACTTCTGTTTACAATGAAAGAATCCCTTCTGTTGAATTTTTTGAAAATTTCGGGTGTTTCAAATATGTAAAGATGAAAGTTTGGGTTCTTCATTATGTTATGTAAACTACAATGTAAAAAATTTTTCTTGTAACATTACCACTTTCTACGTAGGTCCAAAATCTTACCTACTGTGAAAGTGGCAGAAGTACATAAAACAGTGTTACAGCATCTACAATAGGGAATTTTACTTTTAGAATTTGTAAATTTACATCTCGTAGTGTAAAAGTACACCACACAGTAATTTTAAAGATTATACACTCAACAAAATTCATGGTAAATTTGACTAAATTTGAACTATTTCTCCTAGTTCCAGGAGACGCCTATTAACAAAAAGTAGTTGAGACAACTATGTAAAAACGGTTAAATCAACTGTAAAATTTAGTAAAAAGAAACTATTCAAAGTAGTAAAATTATTATTATTAGTATTGAGATCCATATTTTCACCCTCTCCCCTATTACTTTCATTTATATATGCCTTATAATATATAATTTTTGTATACCTAACAGAGAAAAATCCCTAAACGCTGGGGATTGAACGCACGACCCTAACATTCGCAAGTCGACAACTTAACCATCTAACCACGCACGCACGTGTGACGGGATATGTGTGACGGGATATGAATAAAAAGGAGTAGCATGAAAAGTGAGAAGAATTGTATTTGTTTCATTCTCAAAGTTGAAAAACTACTGGGTTTTTTAAATTTACTATTTTGAGTGCGTTTATTTAATTTTTAAAAATGTAAATTTGCACAAAAAATATAACATCACAATTTTGTGTACTTGTACATTATAGAGTACCTTTGTCGCTTTCTAAGAGGGTCCATTTTCTTACTTACTTGGAAACTCACACAAAAGCAATTTAATCTTGTACTATTACAACGTTTTCTTCTTTTACAACTACGAAAATTGTAAAGTTACAATTTCGATTGTATTTCTAAATTTAAAAAGTGTATAAATATCTCACTGAAAATAGTAAAATTACATAAATTCTAAAATGTAATTTTATTATTTCAAAATGTAAAATTTTTTTATTTTTTATAGTGTACACGGAGAAAAAAATAATTAAACTTACTTAGTAGTGTAAAACTTGTTAAAATTTCAGTGTTACCCTTCTAGGAAAAATTGATAAAAAACGATTGTAAGCAGTAGGAAAGAAATTTCTATTGTCCCCAATCGTGTTTCTTAATCGTGTTCTTACAATTGCGAACAATTTACTTTTTTATGTGTATCTATTAAATCGTGTTCTATCGATTGTATTGCATGCACTGTTGTTTGACGGGAGTTTTTGAAATTTTAAAATGGGTTACTAATTTAACGGTCCAGAAAAATATTTTTTAAAGGTTATTTTCCAGACTCAAAAATTAAAATATTAATCAATGTATTTGTCACCCAAGAAGAAAATAAAATAGTTTAGCAAAAAATTAATTAAAAGTTATTTTTTATTTTTTTTTAACGAAACTGCACAAGAAGAAATGTTTATAACACGGTGCTACAAAAATTTTTTTTTAATATACTTTTTATGAAACCTATTGGAGGATTTAGGTAACAAAAAACTAAGAAGAATGATGTATACAAAATTCTCCAAACACCCACAATTTTCATTTTAGCACCAGAAAACCATTTTTACGTATGTTCATGCATAAAAACCTTTGTAACTTTCTTATTTCTGCATCGATTTCACAAATTTTTTCTCATTTTAAAGCTAAGAAACAAAGCTTCTTAACCCATCTTCGGTAGTTTTGTTTAAATTAATATTTATAAGAGAAAAATTACAAAAATGTTCAGAAGTTGTCATTTTTCTCGCAATTTTTCAACTTTAACTGATGTTTTCATTGTGAATTTTAATTTAAACATTTTTTTCTTCTAGCGCTATTAGAGCGTATTAAATTCTGCATCCAACGAGCCCTATCTCAATAGATTTTGTAAAAAATTAACTAAATTATTGTAGTTTTTCTCTTTACTATAATATAAAGAGTAAATTAGAATTCGAGATTTCTTATATTGTTTTAATAGAAACTAGCGATATATTCCTCGCTCGGTTGAAGTTTTACTTTTTTTCTTTACGTATTGTAGTTTATTCATATGTATATGGGACGTTCTTTGTCAACCGGACCACCCCATCTCTCCATAATTGGTTTAATTTAAAAAAAATTTAGCATATTGGAAAAATTAGCTTGGAATGTCTACTTTTTAATCCCGTTGGGCGCTTTTTGAAATTCAAAATGGCGACTTAAATATGGCGCCTAAACGACATAAAAAACACAAAAAATCCACTAATATGATCTATATTATTGTTTAAAGCTTCACATATGACGATAAAAATAACGACAACATAGTTTACTTTTGTTATATTTTATTTGGTATTTTGAATTTTCGAAATCTGTTTTCAAATTTGTAATTAGCGACCCCGAAAACCCCCTAGTAACATTTTTTAAAAATATTCAATAAGTCTTTAGCATTTTTTTTCTTTGTGTCTAGATGCATCATCGACGTTCAGTGGGTTAAATATTTTTCGTATCAAAGTCTTATTAATTGTTTACTGTGCTGCCATCTAGCGTTCACCGATGTAACCTGTAACTTGCTGTCGATAAACGTTGTCCTATACACACAAATAGTACACAATAAACACATTAATTTTCACTATTTATTACCCTTTCAAATGCTTTAAAATAATAAATTAATACTTTTTCACTGCTTTTTTATTATTAAAAAATCATATCTAAAACACTTTTCATTGAATTATATAAAAATTTGACAGAAAACCCTGATATAACAGTGCTCCATATTTTATTTTTTATTTCATTTATTTCGTATTAAATTGATACAAATAAGGTCTTAAATTACTCATGAACACTTTTTCTACAAATACCAATAAATACTTTATCATATTTTATTTTTTAAATAACATTTTTAGTGACCGTTGTGTTCCCAACGGTGTTTCAACGTTATTCCGTTCAAATCGCGTTGAACCCATCCGTTAGGGCTAATTAAAAAGACTTGTCGAATTTGTAATTGACTGAGTACCAGATGCTTGTAAGCTTGCTCTGGTAGCTTCGCGTTTTAAAATGGCCCCTATGCCACCGTAAGAATTTTTGCTATGTTCCGTTGCATGAAAATACCAGTCTGCTGGAATTCCAAAATCCTCTTCATGCTTTAATAAATTAGACACTTGGTACCGAATTTTAATATGCTGTTTTGCACCATCTGAGTAATAAATAACTCGACTCACTTTCGTATTCTTTTTTATTTCTTTTAACAATTGTCCTTGAAGAACATAAACAGCTGTTGTATCATGTTTTAAACAGTCAGACAAAAACACAAGACTTTTATGTTTTATTTCTTTACCATCATTATAGTAATAAACAACTGGCATTAAAGTGCATTGATCATTATTATAATGAAATGCTTGAGCAGCATTTCGTATTACGTACACTGAGAGAAGAAAAGCACGGAATCTGAAATGGAGAAGTTCAGCATCTGTACACCAAGTTGAGAGCAGCAGCAGCGTCACAGTGTGATAGATGCCGTACTAAAATGTAAAATGGATGTTGTACTTGGCTTGAGTATAGATACTGTACACAGATATGAACTGTTCAGAAGTACAGTATCTGTCGGTCGCTATGAGACAGATTCCGTATAACTTAGTTCACACCGCTGCCGCGCTGCTAGAGCTTAGTATCTGAACTATGAACGACACCAACTGAACAAAACTAAAGAACGGATACTGACACCCATTTTACACGGCCGGCGTTCGTCACATTACGGATTCTGTGCTTTTCTTCTCTCAATGTAGGCATAGTTCTCGGAAAAGTCATATTTTACCAATACTTCTGCTTCTTTCAAATTTTGCTTCCTATCTTCAAGGTACATTGATTGCTGCTTAGATATGAATGAATGTGGTTTCAGTTTAATTAGTTTTTGGCAAAGTTCATCAACAAATTCGATGTTCGATAATTTGCTCGTTATTAAATTTGATCTGTCAGTTGATGTCCATAACTGCATAAAACACTCTCGATGCATGATTCGTTTAAAATATTTATCATCATTTCTCAGAAGTCTTCAATGCTAGGGCAATCTTTGCAGTTAGCTAAAAGACATAATGCAGTTGGATCCTTACATGTAATGAGTCGCAGACAATCTTTATAATTTTCAATTGGTTGATTCATTGTTTTTGTAATCTCTTTAATGTTTACCCTATTGAAAATCCCCACATGGGAAACCACATGGGATCCTATGTCAAAAACTATGTAAAACCCCATTCCCCATATGGGAAACCATATTGTTGCGACCATTGAAATAATTTTGTTTTATGAATTTATTTAGATTTAACTGTTTATTTAAAAAACGTGATTTTTTGCCTAAATCTTAGGATTATTTTTATCTTTATTTACAACTTGCAGATGTTTGAAATTATTAAGATTTTTATTATATTGTACCCTTCATTTCTAAAAGGGACTAATTGTCAGACCGGGACAATAAATCCAACCGTTACCTATCTTAAAACTCTATCTTACCGTAATAAAATGTATCACCTTTATTGGTGTCTTCGTTTGTACCCTAACCAACTTACATTGTACAAATTACTTACGCCCCTGAAAGATTGTTAACACCCACATTTTAAACTATCTCATAGAAATATTTTAATGTTAACACCCATGTTTTGCAACCTACCCTCTCCACATTTTTTAGTTTACGTGTAACTTAACTGAATCAATTCGAACTAGAGTTAGTAAAAAATCTCAAGCTATAACGAGATGATCTCAGAACAAATGTATATTCTACGCTAAAATTAATTAAACAATATTTATGTCTAAAAAATCCAGTCTAATTCAATCTTATGAATCCTGCACAATAATCTGTTATTTCTAAGAATAATGGAATTATTAAATTTTGGAGAAGTTAATCACAATAATCT